GCCCGCACGCTCTCCCAGCCTGCAGTGCGGGAAGCTGTCCCACCTTTAGCAGCTTTCCAGTCCTAGCAGCAAGTTTCTCCAGGAAGTCTTCTGTATCCTCCCAGGATTCAATTTTGTACGTCCTTCTGATGTACTCGGGTTTGGCTCTTTCCAGCACCGCACTAATATGATCTTCAGGGCTCTTAATCTTTTCGACTTGAACCTGAAAACAAATGGCAGAACATCAACCCTTTGGAAAGCGTACATTCATTTGCTGCTGGCATTAATGCGTTCAAAGAGAGAATTCCCACATTTCACGCGGGTACATACCACCCCCTTCAGCACAATGTCTGTCTCCGTGTCTCCAGAGGGATAAACCACTCCTGGGCAGTCGATGAGAAAAATCCTCCGCATCAAGGTAATGTACTGCCACACCTGAAAGAGATCGGTAGTCCCATGTTACCCCCTTCCCCACCACCCTCGGTTCTGCTTTTTAAATGCAGAGTTTTAACACACAGGAGTCATCTACAGAACCGGCTATTAACGCACAGAGGCAGAATGTCACTCAGCATTTTTGCCAGCTAGGCAAGACGTTCTGCACCCTGCTCCTTCTGCAGCAGCCAGTGCTGTCCCTGGGAGGTCGCATCAAGCTACTAACTCCAGGACCAGGGTGAGGAAACTACAATCACAACACACTCTGACACTCCGTGGTTTTCCTCTTCCATGATCCGTAGTGATATTTAGGCGTAAAAGGAACAGGGTAGTGAGCAGGATTCCTGTAACTTTGTCATCTTCTTTACTGTCATGTTCTTGACAGAATTAGAAAACCAGCAGAAACAGAGCCCAAGAGCACAAATACACCCGACCGTTTGGTTTAGGAGAGCGCAGATACTGAGCGGGGGCAGCTGAGTGTCCGGATCCCAACACTGACTGAGGAATCCTTCCAGCAGTGGCGCTTCAGAGCGACTGTCCACCAGCTGCTCCCCAGGGCCACAGAGCCCGCAGAGTTCAAGTGCTAGAGCTGAGAACGCCATTGAGCTATTTTTACAGACATTCTGCCTCTGACGATACACTTCCACGATTAATTTTTATCTTTCATATAGGGATCTCTTCCTACCTTTGTTTCACCTGCAATAGGGGCCACGTTGCAGACCTTCTTAGACCTTAATGTATTGATCACGGAGCTTTTGCCAACGTTTGGATAACCAATGAAACCCACGCTGATCTGCTTCTTGTCAGAGTGTAACTGTTAAAAATAACGCATCTACTTAATGCCTCACAGAGAGACAGAATTACTACAGTTCTGACCATTTGAGCAGCTGCTGTTCTCACCGTACTGGAAGGCAAACGGGACTCCAGAAAGCATCAGCTACCCCAAAAGCTAACACAGCAGAGGAGCTGCCATTACACACCGCCACCCCCAACAACAACCGAATGCCCCAGGGTGTTCCATACCTTCCCAAACTGCCTCAAAAGCTGTATGAAAGCACCTTTGCCAAAAGGGTTTGTGAGGCTGGCGTGAAAAGCGAGTGTGGGGTACTCCTGGGAAAGGACAGCCACCCAGCGCTTCTGGAGAGGAAAACATGGGCTCAGTTAGGGATCCCACGCTGCCGAGGAGGGGAAAGTCTGCCCATGAGCAGAAGTACACAGCATCTTCACTTGGGTCACAAATGCACGTCCACGAAAACTGCTATGCAGGAACCTTTGAAGCATTTCGCCAACCCAATAGCTAAAAGGATCGAGTATTGTTTTTATAAGAGACAAACAATTTCCCAAAAACGCCTTCACTGCTAGCTAGAACTAATTAGTTTAACAATATAAAGCAAACCAGCTGTGGAGGATATGGATCTTAAGCGGACTAACATTTAGCATACTCTGGAGACATCAGCTGAACTGTTAAATCCAGACAGAGGAAGTAGAGAATTTGTGGCTGGCGAGTGTTGCTCAACCCAGCCAAACTTGGACAGATTTACATTGTAATTGTTACTTTTATAGCAGGCAAGCAGAGAGTTCCCATTAACCCAGTTACGTTACGCCCCTTTGAGACCAGCATGAGGACTGGCAACAGAATTAAAGCGGAGGCCGCAAAAGGAACAAAGAAGGTCCAAGCAGTAACACGTAGGACTGTGCTTACAGTTGCCCAGGTAGGAACAAGATCACATTTGTTCAGGACGAAAATGAGATGCTTCCAGTGTTTCTCCTTTTTAAGGTAAGATTCCACGTGAGGGGAGCGAGTGCCCATGGGATCCCTGGCATCAAGAACTTGAACAACAACATCTGATGAGTCTATCACCTGGAGAAAAAAGTAATAAAAAAGAATATCACACAGAATGAAAGGATTTTACAGAAAGACATCTACACCTCCAAAATGAGGACTGCTCGTTTTCTAAATAAGGTTGTTCATTTAAAAACCTTCTATCCTCCACAAAAACCCTGTAACTTCCCCACAGACCAGTGAAGCTCAGACCAACACCCACTGATCCTCTGCTCTCTTCTAACTCCTCTCCAAACTCAGCTGAACAGCTTTTACCTGCTCTTACGCCCCAGGAAGATGGTTGTAGCCCTTGGGAAAGAAAACCCTGCACCCAAACAGGAACATTAATCGCTTCAGTGGACAAAAACAATGTTCGTCATCCGTTCTGCAGCAATTCCATTCAGCCATTTCAGAAAGGATCAGGATATAAACTATGTTTTCTGGATCAATATGAAACACACAACCAAGCAGGAACCTGCTGTTACTCCACTAAGCATCTACAGCGGGGAGCTGCCTTTTTCTGACTTGCTTCAAGCCAAGTGAATTTGTTTCACAGCTATTTCCTGCATTTTTGGCAGCGTCTTACTGAAATCTGTTTTGCTCCATCATCCCCAGTACTTTTAAATCTAAATGAATAGGTTTTAAGCTACATTCAGAAACTCAGAGCAAAAGGTCAAGCAATTTCACACCTAGCAGTCACTGCGAGCACACAAACTGCTCTTACAAGCCTAATTCATCCTCAGTCTCCAATTCTCCAGCAGCCAAGGTGGCTCAAGGGGAACTGAGGCTCAGAGCCTGAGGGTCAAGGACGGCCCCAACAGCGTGCCAGAAGTTTTCAGCCCAAAGGCCGTTACGGGTGCGTGACTGGTTCAGCTGTGGTGAAGCCTCAGGAATCTGCGAGAAGCCGACAGCCTTCGCTCTGCCAGCCCATCTCGAGATCCTGTATTTTACGGTTGTTTGTTCCAGTGGGACAAAAGCTCAAGAATCAAGCTCAGTCAGGCTCAGATTTGAAACAGAATCTCTGCTCTCTTCTACAGCAGTTCTTCCACCTGTGTTTATGTACTGCAGCACTGCCAGGAAAAGGACACGGGGATTCAAGCCAGCCAGCTCGACAGGCAAGAAAGCAGGGAAAGGGCGTGACAAACTTGGGATATCTCTGCACAAAGAAAGTCACTGTCTTAACACTTCTAAGAAACTTTACCGCAAATTCAGTTGTACCAAAGCTTCCCTAACAGAGCAATAAATGGTTTTCAGAGCTTTACTGGTGATTGCTGTATAGATTCCCAATGCTGTGCCAAAGTGCCTGACTTCATAAAGGCCAAAGGACAGACGTGACCACGGCACGTTACAGACGCCGCTTACCTTGTAGAGCTCGGTCTTAACACTTCTAAGAAACTTTACCGCAAATTCAGTTGTACCAAAGCTTCCCTAACAGAGCAATAAATGGTTTTCAGAGCTTTACTGGTGATTGCTGTATAGATTCCCAATGCTGTGCCAAAGTGCCTGACTTCATAAAGGCCAAAGGACAGACGTGACCACGGCACGTTACAGACGCCGCTTACCTTGTAGAGCTCGCCCCAGATTCTTTTGGACTGTCCTTTCTTATAGATCTCCTCCTGCGCTTCATCCCTGGAGTGGATTGTGAGAGATATCAGCAACCACAGCCACAGGGCGACAGTGCTGACTCCTCTAAAGCCACTTACAGACCAACGAGGCGCTGAGACCCAGGCAAGACACA